TTGCGTTAAGACATTACTGGTGTATACACGTGCAGTGAGCACAGTGAGTCAGTAAAGCAATACGCCAGAATCGTATGGGCTTTTCTTATATCTTCTCTTGAAGTTGCTAGGTATGACTGCTTACCCCACTGTTTTTCCTCAACGTTTCAACCTCCTCTGTTTAGCGTAGAAAATTAAAAAAAGTAGTGTTCAACTCGTGTTTGAACCTGTGTAATTTTCTAAAACCTTTTCGCTTTTGGCTACTCGTTTTATGTTTCACGATTGTCCTCCAACGACGTCTTTTTTATATTTCTTCTGTTATTTAATTCGATAGTCTCTGCTGTAACTGTAATATTTCAACCCAACCATTTTCCCCATATATAAGCACTATTACAAAATAAATCATTCGAACAAAACTTCTGTGAGACAGTTCTTTCCCTTTAAATAGAAGATAACTGCAGCTTCACAAGCTAGCACTCTTCTTAGCCAGCTCTCTCAGCTCATCTTTAATTTTCTTTAGGGCTCTCTCCTTTCCTTTTGCTGCTTTTCTCAGTGCATTAGACTTAGTGACAAGTACAAGCTTGGATTTTTCCTCTGTTTCTTTTGCTAGAGAGTCTACATCAAGTTGCAAGGCACTAATTTCACTGGCAAGGCGCTTTTCCTTTTCCTCAAACTCAGCTTTTTCCTCAAAAACTATTTTCCGCTTCCTGTTTTGAAATGCTTACTGTTGCTCTTTCTTCTGCTCTTCAAGATAGGCAGAGTAACGTTGCCTCCCTGCACTAGCTACTACAAGAAGTTCCTTGTAAACAACCAACTGAACTAAGCCTCCAATGCTCTGAATGTGGTCATGAATTGTACACCGTGCAACGAATGTTTTTTCCTTCGAATTTTTGATCATGACTTGCCAGTTTACTGAAAACCCTCTCTCGACAGTTGCTTGACTTGGGTTAGAAAGAATCAAGAGTTCTCTCAGCAGATCCCATAATTTGGACAGTGAACTAACAGAACCAATCTGTTTCTGCAGAAATATATCCAGCCTGTCCACCTTGAAGTTGAATTCTTCGAAGGCTGATTTCTCAGCCTTAATTGCCAGATCAAGAAACTCAGAGTACTGCAAAACTAAGGGATCACAATCACGTATGTTCAATCTGCTGCATTTCACCAACTTGCTCAGCACTACGTTGAACTTTGCACAGCAACCTTCTTTGTCAGTCACAATCAAGTTGGGGTCCAGACATGTCAGATTTCTTGCCAAAGTGTAGGCTATTGGTGTCTTTTCAAACAGCTTGCCAACAATAGTAGTTAAGAAGGACTGAAACTCACTCTTGAACTGGTAAATCTAAAAGTAACAATAATATCAAGCTCAGCACAGACAAAATTTCAGTTTCTGGTATTTTTGGCAATACTGTCTGCAATGGGTTAGGACAAGGTTAGTAGGTCAATGAGTCTCTGAAGGAAGCATTATTTCATTCCATTTTTAAAAGCTCATAGGAAATTATTGTATTGTATTCTGTTTAAAGTGAAAAAATGTATTTTGAGAAATTTGATATTAAATATCATAATTATGCACTGTGTTGGACATCAATGGCCATCTCTCTAGATTTCTTAATAGTTACCTAGCGATCACTGACTTTTTTGTCTGCCTGTAGTTTCTTGAGCTTGTCCACAGCAACAAGTCCAATATCCACCTTCTTAATCTCAAGGAAATTTTTCACATCTGAGAGGTCTAACTTTAGAAGCTTTACTGCTGAGGTAGCCTTCTGAAGCACACCAGCCTTAACATATCTCTTCATCAGTCCTACAATCATCTCTTGTAGAGTGCTAGCCATGAAAGGTAGAAGTGGGTTGTCACTTTGAAAAATTGCCAGGAAGGGTTGAAGCTGCTTTGCCATTGACTTAAAAGCTGCCATCTTTACTGTCATGAGTGCATCCTCGACAGCATCTCGTATAATCTTGAATGATTTTGATGTTGGGTTACTGCATTTCTTGTCAGTTTGCAATTTTTGAACATACAGAATGACTTTGTCCCAAATTTCCTGAGCTCATATTACAATGGGTACGTTCTCCAGTCATCTGTGCCTACAAAACTTCAGAGGAAATCTGCTGCTTATTGTTATTTCAGTTGAATCTTCTTTCCTTGCTGGTGAGTCTACAAATAACCAATACAAAGATGAGAAGACCTCTTCTACATTCCACTCAGATGCCTGTTCACCAGTCGTGAATGCAATATGAACACCATGTAGCCCACAAGAACCAACAGTGATTAAAGTTGATGCATCCTCACCAGCCTCAAAAAATATGTGCTTGCAATAAATCGTGAAATATGCAGTTAACATTGAGCCCATGCATAGATGTCTGTAATATCTTGGATTTGTCAATTTTTTTACTGACGAGATATTCTGTAATCTTTACCTGTAAGTCATTAGCAGTTGCATGCCCCATGAACAAGAGTTAAACTAATGTGCGAGCCTGTATTCGGTCCAAATAAATACAACAAATATCGATGACATCCTCAGGGAGATCGCACGTATTTACAAGTTCTAACCTATGACCGAGTCTAACGAGTTTCCGAAGGTGGCATCTTCGCAATTTTTGGTGATGCAATTTTGGGTAGTCCAAACTAAACTGTTAGAATTAATAAGTACTAAAAAGCGTTTGACAAAACCGTTAATTGCTGTGTTGCGGAGAATAAATAAAGTTGTGACTGTTTCTCATTGTCATTTCAACGGTCACACATGTAAATAACCTTAGCACTTCGCTTCTCAATGAAAACTCGCCGTAACATGGCCAAAAGATCACTCATTGACTTAAGAATGTTTTCTTGCGGGAGCAAAACAAGTAATCCAAAGTGGGTAAGATAGCCCCATACTGCCAGCCAGGTAGT